GAACAGAAGATGAACCTACTGAATCAGTCCAAAGGCTCGTATAGTCCAGCACCCTGTTCTCACAGTGGTCATCCAAATGCCTGTTGAATACAACAGCACTCTGCCCACCTGCAATTCCTAGTATCCAAACAACCCATGTTGCAAAAGAGAACGTGTTGCCTAAGGTAAAGGTAAAGGGACCCCTTACCATTAGGTCCAGTCGTGACCGACTGGGGTTGCGGCGCTCATCTCACTTTATTGGCCAAGGGAGCCAGCGTACAGTTTCCGGGTCATGTGGCCAGCATGACTAAGCCACTTCTGGAGAACCAGAGCAGCACACGGAAACGCCGTTTACCTTCCCGCCGGAGCGGTACCTATTTATCTACTTGCACTTTGTGCTTTCGAACTGCTAGGTTGGCAGGAGCTGGGACCGAACAACGGGAGCTCACCCCGTCGCGGGGATTCGAACCGCCAACCTTCTGATCGGCAAGTCCTAGGCTCTGCGCCACCCACATCCCTAACGTGTTGCCTAGACACCTGCAATTCCTGACAAATGGCATTCAGAAGCACCATGTCTCTCATCACAGCGAAGGTAGAGCATAGCCATTGTGGCAAGTAGCCTCTCCTCTGACTTCTGCCTCGTTTTGCACTCTGATCCAGAACTAACCACCAGCCCACCTAGGCCACATTCTGTGTCTGTGGACCATTGTTTGCCTCTCCAGAATCTGAATTCTGATCTGCCTGTGCTAGAGCTCAGCTATGGGCCCCATGGTGCTGTCTCTGAGCTTGGGCAAGTTTTGACCATAGCCCTCAGCAACCTAGTCTACTGCATGTGTGCCACAGTTCAATGTCTCACTGTGTAGCCCACCACTGCATGAACCAGTCCTGAGCAAGAGTTTAAAATAAAAACAGGAAGGAGGGCGGGGGATGGAGCGACTACCTAGGTGTATTCGCAGAGATCAAGGATGGGGAAACTTCATTTGACCCTTGCCTCAGGGTACCTTCCCTTCACATTCAGTCCTGATGCTCTGATTAGCCCACCATCATAGGCCCCATTAACTTCAAAGAAGTTTTGCCAAGTCCATTGGCTTGAAAACTAGGCTATTGTCTCATAATGTGTTCCCAGAGAATGAACCTACAAGCTATTATCATCCTTCCCGCTTGATGTATTTGTACTTGGGTATTAAAACTACTTCATACATCTCTTATAGGGGCTGAATTTCCTTCCGCACTCTAGAGCATATCGTCAGCTGGTAATAATGCTAAGTTTTACTGTCCGTAAGCCATGGTTTAAGTGTGGCTAAATCTACTAAAAATAAAATGACTTGATTTTCCTGGGGCGTGTGTTCGTAATTATTCCCCACTCAAATCTCACCAAGTAAATGCACCAAGAGAGGAAGAAAAGGGGTCAGTCCAGCACAGCAGGCACTAGGGGTGGAGGAGAAATTCGACTCACAACACATTTACAGCTGAATGTATCAGATTCGCACTTTCGGAAACCACACGCGAACTGAAACGCAGCTCGTCTTTGAAATTTGCACTTATGTGATTTTTATGATGCAGTTCTCCAACGAAAACATGCAAAAATGAAATTATTCAGGAAAAAGGTGCATAAAATGAAGGTATTTGTGAAAATAGCGTACAAAAATGCATTTGCTTGAAAAAATATGTACATTAGTCTAAACTGCATATAGAATTCTGTTAATTAGGGAAAAACTTGCACTAAAATGCTAATGAATTTTCATGAGGATGTTTTTTCTTTAAGCTTGCAAATTGCTGCAAAATGTGGAGGGCTGATTTTAAGATTGAGAAAAGGAAAGAAACAAAACTGACAGATTCTTCCCTCCCTGGCAGTAACACATACACAGAGCCAGAAAGTAGTTGTCTGCCTTGGTGGTGAAATAGGAGGCTTATGTTCAAATCACAACTAAATTATCCTCAATTTTTAGGGCGTTCCTGTGCCCAACTTTACAGACAACAATCCTCTGTTTTGAGGGCAAACAGGCCTGCTGCTCTTTCCCACCAGGCAGAAATCTACTGTTTGTCCTATTTAACTGATAATAATTCTTTCTAAACTTGCACCTATGTATATCAGGCTTCCTCAACCTTGGCCCTCCAGATGTTTTGCGTAAATAAAATAAAATTATGGACCTTGTTAAAATGAACATAAAGTATGATTTTAACAGAGACATTATGCAGAGGTTCAATTGGTTTAGAGCGCCAGGCAGGGCCTTTTTTGTGGTGGTTTCCTAATGGAAGAACTTCCCTTTTATAGTACAAGCTCCATTCCTGGTGGCATTTGCGCAAGCAGTGAATACATTCTAAATCTTAATTAATTCATTATTATTATAGAACTACACAATGTTTAGAAGGCATCTGAAGGCAGCCCTGTATCAGGAAGTTTTAAATCTTTGACATTTTATTATTATATTTTTATGTGCTGGAAGCCGCCCAGAGTGGCTGGGGGAACCCAGCCAGATGGGAGGGGTATAAATAATAAAATCATTACTGTACTACTATTACTATTATCTGTATGGCTTGGCAATATATAATTGAAATTTTTAAACTTTTGCTTTTTAAGATTTATGGATTGTATCACCAACATTTTACTTAGAGTAAACCTATGGAAATTAATGGGCCTAAATTTGTCATGTCCACTCATTTAAGTGGGTTTAATTCGAATATAACTAAAACTGGACCTAATTTGTGCTTTAATTTGTGTTACATGGTGGTCATATTTCATTTTGTTCTTTCATGTGAATCCCTTTTGGGGAGGGAGAATTGCAACAGCTGAAAAGCAGCCTTTATTTTAAACACACACACACACACACACACACACACACAGAGGAACAGCTGAGTGATGATTTTCTTTATCTGATGACTTCTCACTTTTTGATTCAATTGATTTCTCAAAGCAGAGAAAACTAAAAAACAACAACTAACAAACAGTGCAATCCTATGTAAGTCTACTCAGAAGTAAGCCCCACTGAGTCCGGTGGGATTTACTCCTGGGGACGTATGTCTAGGATTTCTGCCTAAACCTGCAGTGTCAGCTTAGCAGCAGGCAAGAATATAACAAATGGGACTAAGCTCCACTATACTTGGAAGCTGAAATCCTGCTTTAAAAGAAAACCTGTGTAAGCTGCCCAAGCCCTGAAAGTTGATGACTCTTAAGAGGTAATAATTAGAAGAACCTGCAGGACTAAGAGGCCTCACAGCAGTTTTTAGGGTGCCCAAATTGTAAGCAGCTGCAGAAGAAATGGATTTGGCAAAATGGGCATTGACCGATGTCATTACCTCTGCATTGATCTTTGCACTTTTAGTATACCAAAACGAACATAACTCAGACACACTCATATAACCAGTGCATCTGAACAAAGGCATTATGCCCCTTTTAAACATATTGCATGTATGCTTGATTGACAGAGGTGGCCTAACAAAGGAAAGGAAGTGGTAAATAAACGTCCTGAACATATGGAGGGCACCAGGTTGGCTGATCTGACCCTATGACATATTTTCCAGACTGATATATTTTAGAGCACATTAACACTTTGTACCAGCCTTCCCCTAAGTGATGCCAGCACCCAGCAGCTGGGGCCGATGGGCGTTACATAGAATCATACAATTGTGGAGTCCTGACAAAATGAATCATACAAGCAACATTGGTCCAAATGCTTTCATAGACAGAAAATTATATATGCAAATATGGCACAGACATGCACAAGGGAACCAAAAATTACAGAAGGGATTGCAATCCTCCACACACACACAAATGCTATGTTCACAAACAAGTGAGGGCGTAAACAAGCATATTAATGTCTACATCTCCAATTGCAAAGGTGCTTTGAAGGAAAGCAAGCCATGGGCTGCAAACGCAAACTCTTTCTTCCAAACATTTGCATATTTGACAGAACATCACATGCTAGCAATGATAATTTGGCACATTTGTGAGCATTTGCTTTAAAAGGGGGGGGGGGGAGAAACAGCCGTATCTGCTTATTGCAAACGCTCCTTTTCTTTTCTTAAAAAGAAAACATTTTGTTGTTTTTGACAATGTATTTGCACAACGGAATTCTGCACTTTTTGTTTCCGAATTTGAACTTTGTGGTTTGCATCACCTCTATTTACATGCATCTAGCTCAGAACTCTTGGAAATAGAGGGGAGCTTGAAACACTGCAAACACAGAAACACAGAACGGGAAGCGGGGCAGAAGACCATCAATTCCACCTTCCCAGCTGAAGGCAGGATCCTTCACGCATTGTGTGGGTCCAAGCAAACAGCAGGCCACAGGATGTCACAAGCCATGAATAGGAATGAGCAAGGTGCGACTCATCATGTAAAGCCAATGCTTCTGATACCTGCATGCAAATGGCCCGAATGTAAACATGCACACACCGTTTAAGGGATGGCAAGTGACATGTGCAATGAAATGGAGAAGAGGAGAGAGGCGCAGGGAATGGCATGCATGGCAAGCGCAGCTAATCCAGGCATTTCTTGAGCAGGAATCCTCCAAATGATTTGGCCACATTTCTTTTATGTTCACATTTAAATGCAGCTGTAGTGCACACTGTCTTTTTGGGGAAACTTTCCACCTATTTGGGTTTTTAGAAATTGAAATTTGGTAAAGGGTGTGAAAACGAATTTGTGCATGAGAGGCGAGAGGCTATAGGCAAAGGCAGCACAGCCCCAAGTTCCATTCTCAATCCTTAATCCTACATAAAGATCAGTGCTGTGTGTTAAATCTCCGCCAGGCCTGGTAAACTCTAGAGCCAAGATGCAAACTATGGCCACATCTACCCCATACATTTAAAGCGCTCTTATTCCTCTTTAAGAGTCATGGATCCCCAATGCCCAAAATCTTGGGAACTCGAGTTTCAGTGTTTCCTAAGGACTCTCAGCTCCCTTACCAATGATAGTTCCCAGGATTCTCAGGGGAAACCGTAACTCTTAAAGTGGAATAGAGTGCTTTGAGGGCTCATCCAGACTTCCTTTTGTGCTGCGTTTCTAGTCACAGGCCTGCGCCTTACAGCACCATGATGGTAGCTCAGTTGGTACAGTATAAGACTCTTAATCTCTGGGTCTTGGGTTTGAGACCCAAACTGGGCAAAAGATTCTGGCACTGCAGGGGGTTGGACTGGATGATCCTCGGGATCCCTTCCAACTCTACAATTCTATGTCTGAATGCTTTTTTATTCCCCGTAAAAACCCACTCTTTACTGCTGAATTGGAGCAAAACAATTCAGGAAAACCTGAATTGCCGTTTGTTCAAATTTAGTGTTAAAAAGCTACTGGGAAGAATGGGAAAAGGGGGTTCGGACACAGCGCTTTAAAGCACAGACGTGCACATAGAAAGTGAAGGGCAAAAAGTGTGGAATGAGCCCTAAATGTATGCAGTGGAGGAGACAAAAAAGCCTCAGAAAGACTGGCAACAGCAAACATGAAAAGATGTTTAGTATTGTCTTCTGAAAGATGGCTCCCAAGCACCTAAATGTATTAGCTTTCCTATGGCAATTCAAAACTCCTCAAGAGCACCAGGTTGAGGAAGGCTATTGTAGCCAATATAACTTATGGCTGATTCATGCATTTGACATTTTTAGGTTCAAGAAATATCTGACTTGTGGGTTAGGGACGTCACATGTATGTACTTTCAGTGGCTGGGTTCTTGTGAACAAACATGGCACTGGGAGCCCAATCTTTCTCTTAACACTGCCTTGGCGTTGGTTTATTGGGCGGCCAGCCCATTTCAAGCCATGTGCACCATTTGCAGCGGGTGCCCTATGGTTTTATTACGCCATTTAAATGTGGGGGTTTTTCGGTATCTGAGTTCAAGCAGCAAAATGTTCATCAGCTCATGCGCTGGTCTAGATACAGACTGAAGTAGTAAAATATCTTGGTTTAGATGAGTCTATAAGTGTAGGGAATGTATGTGCCCTGGAAATTGAGTGGTGCTCTCATGCCATGCCCTCTCCTTGGGCACACTTGAGACATAACATTTGCCTAACACCCTTATCCACGAAGCCCAGAACAGCTGGATTTAAACTGTCCAGTTTCCCAGCCCTATGCAAATATTACTTCCAATGTGTGGCCATTTGGTAGTCACAGAAGCAGGAGAGGCACACATGCTAGATAGGTGAGATCTTTTCCTAACGTGGGGATGGCTCTCTGCATTTAGAGCCTTGTTCAAATAAATAGCTTCATGCAGAAGAGAAATCTTATCTGTCTATGTTAACTCTCAATGCAGGATATAGTAGGAATGAGGAACCGTAGAACTATATAGTGTACTAATTTGGACATCACACCAAACCATAGTTTAGCAGGCAAGAATGAGATGCAGGCTTAGACATTCTTCCTCCCCTCCCAGAAGCAAAGCCTATGGTTTTTGCTTAACCAGTGGTTTATTTTTAACCATGGCTTCTTTGAAATGTGAACTTCAAACCATGGTTTATGAATCTGGCTTGTTCAAACAAATCAGAGTTAATACTATCGTTTAGGGTTCTGATATCAGTGGTTAATCAAAAGTGGAAGCAAAAGTTTCTGGACTCCACTTTGTAGCTGCGCTGAAGGAGAAAAGGGGAAAATGCACGCACCGGGGGCTCACCTAGGCTCCTTTGCATCACTATGAACCATGGTTTGCTGTAACACCCAAAGGCAGCCTTTCTGTGAGGGGTCTGGTTGATGGCAACATTTGCCTCACCTTCTGGCAGCTTTTGCGGGTGCACAAAAGGCCACCTTAAAGCTGGAGAAGCCAAATTGTTTTCTTTGGAGCACCCCATTACTGAGGCAGGTTTGTCAGCCAGATGTGCGCTCAGCCTGAAATGTGCTTGTAAAGTGCTGTAGGACAAGGAATGCGGCAGGATTAGCTCGTAAGGGAATCCAGCAGGGTGGGCATCAGTCAAAGCTGAAGCTACTCCTACAAGCAAGCTGGATGAATTTGTCAGAGGAGGAGGGAGGCGAAAAAGGGGGTATATTGCAACATATGGCATTTATCAATTGTTTCATTTACAGCTTAGGATGAAAAACAAAAACAAAAACACAACTAAGGAATGAATGAACAAATGATGGAAGGAAGGAAGGAATGATGGCCCTCACAACATGCTGGTGGATGTCCGTGGACAGATGGGCTTCAATGATGGGTCATGTGGGTTGTTGTTTTAACTGAATCTTACCCTCATCCCTTCAAATCGTGATAGTGCTCTTAAGGGTCTCAGAGCTCTGAGGGTCCTAAGGGATTTAATGGGACCCATTTCGGAGTATCCAAGTGTACTAGCTATGAGGCTTACTAATGAGACCTGAATGGAGACACAAAATGGAAAAGTCCAAACCATTAGCACAAATCCTACCATTCAGCTTCTCTTCTCTGGATTTTCACCTGTAAAGATAAGCCTGGTTAATCAACTGATGAAGAAAGAGCCTAAAAGGAGGAAAAATATATAGCATTAACCCAGCACGAAGGCAGGGGCAAAACAACCCCATCAACATTCTCATGTATAAAAATCATTTCCAGGAGACCTTCAGGATATAGACCCATTCACTGATTTCCAGTGCAAAATGAAACCACAAGACTTCAAAACCAGAGGGAACCCCCATCTTAAATGTTGTCTTACTTTCCTCAAGGTGACCACATGGAGCTCCAACTGATGTCAAAAGTTGGTCAGAAAAAGGAAGAAAGAAGGACCAGCAAAGTCTAATTCTGGCAGTGTTTTCCTGAAACACAAACTTTTTTTGTGTGCAGTTGATATGATTTTTTTATATATAATTGAATGGAAACAGCAGAGATGTGGGCACAGCTCCCATTATTAAATTATGCAAACACTGTAATTTTGTGGCCTCAAGATGAATCACTTTGCAAGACCCAGCCATTTATTACGATCCTTTGAAAAAGAATGCCATAGACTGTGATGTATCTCTGTAATACCCAATTTCGTTGTGTGTGTGTGTTTTAAATGGTGTTGGACCTGTGTCACTATATTACACCCTTCTCTAGAAAGAACTGTACCCATTGTCTTGCTTTGGATTAGCAAAATGAAGCCGCCATGTGCCACCTTAAGGAAAGACTGGATGGCCCGTTAACCTGTGGGAAAGAGAGAGAAGGTGCTGATTACTGGAGGTGAACACACTTCATAGACACTGAAAGACGACAACCCTTACCCTTATGCTCTCAAATCGGGACAGGGCTCGGAGGGGCCTCAAGGCCCTCAGCGTCCTGAGGGATTTCATAGCGGCCAGGTGGTCATAGCCGAGAATTGATCCTATCTGGCAAATAACTGAAATCTGTGCAGATCGAATGGAATTTGAAATTATTGGTCAAGGCGAGCAAAGAGAGACAGGAAGAGACACAGAGAGAAAAAGGAACAGCACAATCAGGGGAAGATTCTGAGAACCCAGGTAAAGTCACTTGGCCGTTTTGATACAAGTGCAGGTGTAGGTTGTGAGCCAACAGGGGCTACGTTTCTAACGAAGTATCTGCTTCACCGTGACTCAATGTGCCACGAGGCTCACCAAAGTGCTTAAAGTGAGCTGTGTAGCGGAATGAATGCCGAACTAAACATTCAGCTCTGGGCTCACTGGGATGAAAGAGTGGTGGAAGGCCAAAATCTGGGGAGGGTGGGGATAAAATTGAGAAATTGGGGTTGGGACAGGGGACCTACCAGGATAAGTGGCAGTGTGGCTGCCATCTTCCTTGCTCCCAACAATGCCTCAGGTACAACACAATACAGGGCAGTATCCAAAGAAGCAGATCTGCTGGCTCAAGGACTTTTGAGTGGGCAACAGAACTTCCCCTCCCTCTCCTCCCCTTGCATTCCCCCAAATTTGTTCTAGGTTTTCTTCCAACCCTCCTGAGCAGATTTGGGGAGAGCACAGGAGATGTGAGGGGAGAGAGGAGGGGAGGGAAGTTCTGCTGCAGAGGTGGAAATCATTGTGCTAGCTAGTGGATCTACTTTATAGTGTCATTCCAAGGAGACAATCAGACAAAACATATCCACCTGCTGGGCCACCAGTAGAGGCCCATCACCACCTCTTGGGACAGTGGCCAAATGGTATTTTAAAAGGAGGGAGGTGCTGCCACTGTGGCTTGTCCCAAGAAGCCTCTGCTCCAATTTTTCAATTTTCGCTGCCCCCCCTTCCCAGTTTTCTGCCCCAAGTACTCCCCAGTCTTCCTCCTCACCGTCACAAGGTTTTTACAAATCAAATTAGGTTGTTTTAGTACCCAGCTGCTGGTTGGTTTATGTTTGTGTTTATCACTCTGATTTTACGGCTATTTTATCGTTTTATGTGGGGATTTGTTACGCTTATCTTTACGAGATGAACTCTGCTGCTTCAATCTTTAACGTACCTTGTCCTGGGCTCCCTTGGGAGGAAGGGCGATTCACAAAACCTACAGCTGAATTGATTAAAGTAACTAGATGCAATAGGGGCAACCTCCTTTCATTGACTTGTGCACCTAATTCATTCATGAGGAGGCAAAACCTTGAGAAGGAGGCACAGCTGGGTGGGAGAACACCTGCTTTGCATGCAGAGTGCCCACAGTCCCTGCATTGCAGGGGGTTGGACCAGACAACCGTAAGGGTCCCTTCCAACTATGACTCTTGTACACTTAAACCGTGAAATGCACTACAGGTGCTGCTGTCCTCCTGACATAGATTTATCAGGTGTCTGTTCTGTGGATTAGGCAGGGAAAGGCTGCAATAGCTGGCAACTCTTTGCAGCCTTGGACACAGTCCATAGGTTGAGGTGAGTTGACTAAATACTCCGCTGTTGATTTTGGAGGTATTTCATTTCTCCCTGTCAAATTTTATTCATAGGAGAAACCTCAACCGTATAGGCTTGGCGCTTTGGACTTGATTAAATGTGACCTCGGAAGATATTTTTAAAATAATCAAACAGCTTTCAAAATCCGTGCTGACTGCCCCACATAGCCCAGGCAAACGCGGAAGTCAGCACTTTTCAAAGAGAGCTTCCCTGCCCCCCCACCGCTCCCCCCCCATGCAAGCTTGTTAAGCAAGACCTGATTCTTTCCAACACATCTGCCTGAGCCTCTCTCCCCCGATGAATGTTGCACCCATAATCCTGTCCTGCTAGAATGCCACACAGCAGTGCTTCCAAAT